ATCTGGCAACCAGCCAGTGTTTAGTGAACTGGCAGATCTGGGATGACGCTGGGGGCTTCTTGGCAGCTGGAGCCAGAGCAAGGGATGGATGTGCCAGGCCAGCACCAGACACCCAAGCCAACAGCCGCCTCATCCCTGGAAAGCATTGGCATGAGCAAAAGCAAATGCACTGGAACAGGGTCTCCAGCCAGTTTCCCTCCCTATAAGGCAGCCTTGTCTGCAGGGGAGAGTGGAAGCAGTCTCTCTCCATATCCGTTTTGGTAGTTCTGTGATCTGAATGGTGCTATATGGATATGGTTTGGGCTTTATCTTTCCCCCAAGGTTTCATCTGCTCAGCCCCAGCAAAAAAACATTTAAAAGTAAAGAGATGGATGCCAATATCTACAGATTTCATAACATCCTTTATTCCTGTCACACTAATGGGAAAGGTAGGTAGATAACATTGGAGGAGTTTTTTACTGTGGGTTAACATTTGTGAATTTTTTTTAATTTAAGCCAAAATGTAAAGCTGGTGTCACACACACACACACACACATACATACACACACACACACACACACACACACACACACACACACACACCCCTCCTCATTTTTGCTCTATCTGGAAACTTACTCAAGTTTCATGCTTTCTCTTATTATTGTAGATGTGAACATTACCCACCAGTTTCTAGAATTTTCCATGAGCCAAAGCCCAATTATCTGAGTCATGATTGCTATTTCTTCTCTCAGCAGGAAATCCAAATGTGATTGGTAGATTTTTAAGAGTCTAGTTCTAAGGACACGGGCACCTAAGTCTTTTTAGAGAGATGTTATATTTCTAATCAAGTAAATGTTTTAATTACTAACAGGCCTCCTACCTCCTACGCTCCCACAAGACCTGCTCAGGAATTTCTCACGGGTCTCCTATGAAACATGGAGCAGCAGCTTACTCCTTTGGAGTTCTGATTATAAGGACTGAAAAACACTTGGTAGGAACTGTTATATATATATATATATTTTTTTTTTCTTTCTGAGCCACAATAGTAGCCAAATAGCCAAATATAAAGCAGGTCTGCTTTGTCTTATATTTGGAAGTCTGAAAGAAGAGGGAATCAGTGAAGAATTAAGCAATCTATCCCCTCCCTCCCTCATTCCTCCCATCCTCTTCCTATTCCTCCACTTAACCTAAAGTTTTGGTGGCCACTGGGACCTCTCATGGGTTTTATTGGCAAATGCAGTTGAACCCCTAAAACTACATATGCCAATATAATGGGAAAAATACTGAACTGGGAGAAACTGCAGACCTAGATTCTTGTTCTTCTTTTGCAACCAACCAACTGTGAAACCTTAAGTGTGACATGTGACTTTCTGGACCTCACTTTCGCCTTCTGTGAAATGAGTAGGCAAGGGATGCTGGTGGTTATATTAAATCTCAAATGCCTCTAGGGATTAGGCTAATGGGAAAAATTAATGAAGTGGGCTGGGCAGAGCCTGTCCCTTGTAATGGGGCAGCTTTTACCTCTAGCCAATTCTATTTCCAATGCTATGTGAAAATGTGGGCCCAGGGATAACAGGTTGTCCCATTTTTCGTAAGAGAAATCTGAGACCCAAAAGCTGAGAATTCTAAGTGAAATATCTTGATTTTTCAGATGTTGAAAATGACTATTGGGTGACTAAACATGTCAATGGGCCAAATACAGCTCCATGACTGAAAGGTTAAGGCCTCTGGACACAATTTTCTCGATGACCATGACCTAAAACAGCTCCCAACAATAAGCATTCAAATATGCAATACACACAAAATCATATTTGACCCTGAACAGCCAAAGCAATCCTGAGAAAAAAAGAACAAAACTGGACGCATCTCATTTCCTGATTGCAAACTATATTACAAAGTTATAGTAATCAAAACAGTATAGTTTTGGCACAAAAACACACTTAGATCAGTGGAACAGAATAGAGAGCCCAGAAATAAACCACACATATATGGTCAAATAATATTTGACAGAGGAGACAAGAATATACAATGGGGAAAGGATAGTCTCTTCAATAAATAGTTCTGGGAAAACTGAATAGTCATGTGTAAAAGAATGAAACTGGACCCCTATCTTAAACCATACACAAAAATCAACTCAAATGGATTAAAGACTTGAATATAAGACCTGAAACCATAAAGTTCCTAGTAGAAAACATAGGAGTAAGCTGTTTGACATTGCTCTTGGCAATGGTCTGTTTTTTAGACTTGGCATTAAAAGCAAAGGCAACAAAAGCAAAAATAAACAAGTAGGATTAAATTAAACTAAAAAAACTTCTGCTCAGCAAAGAAAACCACCAACAAAATGAAAAGGCAACTTACAGAACAGGAGAAAATACTTGCAAATCACATATTTGACAAGGAGTTAATATCCAAAGTATACTGGGAAATAATAGTGAGGAATTCAGTAGTAAAAAAAAACACCATATTATCTAATTTAAAAACGAGCAAAGGACCTGAATAGACATTTTTCTGAAGAAAACATACCAATGGCCAACAGGTATATAAAAAAGTGCTCAACATCACTAATCATCAGGAAAATGCAAACAAAAACCACAGTGAGATACCACCTCACATCTGTTAGGATAGCTATTATTAAATAGGTAAGAGATAACAAATTCTGGCAAAGATGTGGAGAAAAGAGAACCCTTGTACACTGTTGATGGGAATGTACACTGGTACAGCCACAATGGAAAACAGTAAGGAAGCTTCTCAAGAAATTAAAAATAGAATTACTACATGATCCGGCAATCCCACTTCTGGGTATATATCCAAAGGAAACAAAATCATTATCTGAAAGAGATATCTGTACTCCCATGCCCATTGCAGCATTATTAGCATAGATATGGTATGGAAACAGCCTATGTGTCCATCAATGAATGAATGGATAAGAAAATGTGAATCAAAGAAAAGAAAAAAAATATATATATATACACACAAAGGAATATTACTCAGCCTTAAAAGAGAATGAAATCCTGTCATTTGCAATAACATGGAAGGAGCTGAAGGGCTTCATGCTAAGTGAAATAAGCTAGATAGAGAATGACAAATACTATAAATGGCATCATTTGTATGTGGAATCTTAAAAAAACAAAGGAAGAAGTCAAACTCATAGAAACAGAGAGTAGAAAAGTGGTTGCCAGGGTCTAGGAGATGGGGAAAAGGAAGAAGTTGGTTAAAGGTTACAAACTTTCAGCTATAAGGTCTGAGGATCGAATGTATAACATGGTGACTATAGTTGATAACACTACATTGTAGAAATCTGCTGAGCAAGTAGAACCTAAATGTTCTCACACATAAACAAAAAGGTAAACATGTGAGGTGATGAATGTCTTAACTCAGTGAGGGAAATCCTTTCACAATGTATATCAGTTCATCATCTTGTACACTTTAAATATCTTATAATTTTGTCAATTATACCTCAGTTAAGCTGAAAAGAATCACATTCTTTATTCCTAAAGTAACCACTGATGTTCAAAAACCAGAGAGTGTAACTAGATTCAGCTACAGAATGTACTCGTTCGCTTAGCTCACTCTAGAACTATTAAGAGGTTCCTTTGGTTGAGTGATGTGCACAGTAAATCGAATAAATGATCTCATGCATCATGACACATGCAGATGGCTTCTTATAACTTTGTCTTTTGGTTAGTCAGACAGACTTATTTCCAACCATTGCCCCGGCAAGAACATAGGAAGAAAAGGCAGCCATGATACCCTGATCATGGGGATTCAAATAAATAACACAGTGAGATGGAAAACATTCTCAATATTTAAATTTTAACTGGCAGTGCATATTTCAGGTCTTTATTTCCTCAAGATTTATTTTTAAGTTTATATATTGGGAACTAAAGTGATAACTTTTTGCTTTCTCTAAAGTATGGCTTAGTATGACTAAGTATGGCTTAGTCACTCCCAGCATGTCCCTAAAAGACTTCAACATCTTAGATTGGGTTTATGAGAAATAATGAGCAAAGGAAAAATACTGGGTGTTGACAATCAATCAAACAGATGATTCAGGCAGGCTTGCCTTCCAGGGTTTGCTATGCAGCCCACCAAGCAGTTGAAGGGACAGTATTCGGTGAAAGGTCCACGATCACGCTTCAAGAAGTCAAGTCTCCCTCAACTGGTCTGAGACCTCTGAAATCTAGAGCCCACTGCCAGACGTCCCATTTTCAATTTGCTGTAGAGGAGAGGCAGCAAAAACGTTTCTAAGTTACTCCGGGAAAATAAACCCCTGGCACAGTTTCCAAGGCATTTTTGCAAAGTCAGTAACTCCTCCAACAGCCGTTCCCAAACTCTGGGATATCATGGACCAGCCACATTTCAAAGCAAATTTGCTGCAGCTAACATTAGAAAGAAAAATTATCAAGAGAGGAATTACAATAAGACAAAAAAACAATAAAAAGCACACCAAAGAAGGCCCAGCAACCAGATTCCATCTATTATCCCAAAGTTTCATACGAAAAAACAATGACATTTGAATACTAAACTAGTAGAAAGAACATACTCTCAAAATGCAGGACCATCTCTTGAGTTGAACACAATTAACTTTATTAAAAACTTACCACGTTATCCTGACTTTTTTCCCCCTGTCCACAGTTCCACGTAAACATTACCAGAATGCACGAACCACTGTTATTCTACCTAATGGTCTACAACTGTATACTCCTTAACACAGGACTTAGTGCCATGTGAGCACATAGCATTTATCATTAGTATATCAGAATATCTTTCAAATACATAATTTTTTTGGCTTTTAACCAGAAACCTTGTAGGAGCTCCTAAAAGGCTTTGATTTTAATGAATAAATGTGCCTTGCCCTAAATTCTCTGCCCTTGGGGCTCGTGGGTGGAAATCAGGTAGAATTTTGATAGAGATTCTCAGTTATAGACAAATCAGCACTCTAGAATCTATATAAGAAGGTCATGGGAGCACACCTTTGTGGAGACCCCACACACCAGAAGGAGGGAGGTGGTGGACGTTACCTTTGGAATGCACATTGTGGGCTCGGACAAGCGAGGGTAGGTGTAGGAGCTGTAGGAGTGTCCTTGAGGGTGGGTTTTAAATGCACTTGCTCCGAAGGGCATCATGGGTTCCTGGAGCCCGGAGCCTGACCGTGACCTCTGCCGCATGGCGGGCTGAGGGCTTGTCTGACTCAGGTATGATGACTTTGGCCTCCTGTCATAGTCATCCAGGCTGGGTCCCCACTCACTTTCGCTGTACGCCAGGCTCTCCTTGGAGCACCCACTGGTCCCTGCAGTTCTAGAAGGCGTGAATTGGAATGGATAATCCAGAGGGGAGCTGCTTGAGGCTCGCTGGTACCCCCATTTGAGGTCACTGTACTCACTGGGTTTGCTCAGTGAGTCCAAGTGTGTGTGATAATCAACAGGAAACCTGGCTCTGTTGGATTGCAAAGGCTTCATCTCAGAGTAGTAGGCTTCCCCATGTTGCATTTTCATTACGTGCCCATTTTGCTTGGCCGAGTGGCTGCCTTTATAAAACGGGTCCAAATCATCTCCATAGAGACTCTTTTCTTTGTACTTTTCCATCGCATAGTCAGCAGTGGTATCAGATTCGCTGGAATACTGTGAGAAGGTGAGGAATCCATTTTCTTCCCGATGGCCTTGACCATGGCTGGAGGCTCCCTGGTCTGGGGTGGGCGGGCTTTCCTTCCTTAGGGAGTTGGAGCGGGTCACAGAGATGTTGTCGAAATCCTCCAGAAGGCCATTGATGGAGGTTTCCTTGCAGGGTTTGTTTCCTCTAACGATTGTCTGGGAATAAGAAAGGGAACACTGTTTAAAGAAAACATTTAATGCTTTCAAATTGATGGAAGAATCCCACCCCGAATCCATCCAATTTAAACCACAGAGGAAAATAGGCCCCAGGAACATTTCATTAAAAAAGATAAAAGAAAAAAAAGTCTGTTGGTTGATTTGACTGGTGAAATAAATCAAATATAAACCATAATCTCAAACTGCAAATTCTTCCTTACCTATCTCAATAGAGAGATCAAACATCAAAAAACCATTTAGAAGACTATATATAGGATATCATTGTCTTATTTGCCAGTTCATTGTTCTTCCACTTAATAATAAACCCTAGCTATCCAACAATAAACTGATGACTATAATTCTAAGTCTATGACTCTTTTGTTATAAAAGGTATATTTATTTTTTATTTATATTTTACATTCGTCTTCCAGATTATTTGCAAAATCAAAAACATTGGTACTCGAATAGTAACATACTCAGAAAGAGGTGCACATTTTTATACCTTTTTATGGAAGACACATAGTAATTGAAGTTATCAGATTTTATAGAAGAGGAAGAAACTTTCTGAGCTGTAAATAGGGAACCGCATGAAGATTACTTGCATGATTTAATTTGTGATCAAATGTGATGTTCTTATTAAGTATATAACTGTAATGCTTTCTTGGCCACACTTCTGCGTATCATCAGTATCATCACTGCTGAATTTTGGATAGCTTGGTAATGATGTGCTTGTACCCGAATCTTAGTGACAAATTGCCAAGCGCAAATGTTCCCTTTAATGAGCCTAAATAACACTGGAATGAATAACAGGAACAGAAAGGAATCAGAAACTACTTACAAAACCAGTCAGCTGCGCCTTGACAATAACAAGGTTTGCAATAAAATGACGGGGGGTGGGGGTGGGGGTGGGGGTGGGGGTGGGGGGGGTGGATAAAAGAACAAAGAACAAAGTGTGACTGCAGACTTTGGGATTTCAAGAGAAAAACACCTTTGAGAAAGTAGCAAGGAGTTCAAAGCTATCTCAGTTAGAACAATAGATTTCAAACTGGAAGAAAAAGTCAAAGTTGTCCTAGAGCATATGTTTTTACAGATCAGTGCTTCTCCAACAATCCATAGTGAAAGACAAGGTTTGGTCTTTTTTCCCCCAATCAGTCCTGGACTAAAGCCTTTGGTCTCTACCCTTTTCTTTTAAATAGTTTAAGTCTGGAGTACTTTCAGATTAACAGAGAAACTGCAAAGAGAGTTTTTATATATCCCTCACCTAGTTCCCTGATTGTTACTATTAACTAAACTCCACAGTTTATGTAGATTTCATTAGTTTTTTCCTGGTGTTCCAGGGTCCCATCCAGGATACCTCATTACCTTTATTTGTCATGTCTCCTTAGACCTGAGGCAGTTTCTCAGACTTTTCTTGTTTTTGATGACCTTGACAATTTTACTGGTCAGGCATTCTGCAGAATGTCCCTCAATTGGGTGTGTCTGAAGTTTTTCTTATGGTTAAACTGGGGTTATTGGTTTGTGGGGAGGAAGATCACAGAGTAATATACCAATTTCATTACATCATATTCAGGGTACACATGGCTCATCACTGATGATGTTGCCCTTGATCACCTGGCCAAGGTAATGGTTGCCTGGTTTCCACACTGTAAAGTTATATTCCCCTCCCTTCCCTCCCGCTTTCCACATTTCACTCTTTGGAAACAAGTCACTAAGTGCAGCCCATACTCAAGGGGTGTCAAGTCAATATCTACCTTTCTGAGAGGGTATATCTACATAAAGTACTTGGAATTCTTCTCCACAGGAGACTAGGCAAGTCTCCCTATTTATTTATTCAATCATTTATTTGAATCAGTAGGGATGGAATCATGGATATTTACTTGTTTCATACTCTGGGTTGTAATTCAATACAGGCATACTTCACTTTATTGTGCTTCACTTTATTGCTCTTTAAAGATAATCTTTTGTCTTTTGCTTTTTTTTTTTTTTAACAAATTGAAGGTCTGTGACAACCCTGCCTCAAGAAAATCTATTGGCACCGTTTTTCTAACAGCATTTGCTCATTTCTTGCCTTTGTGTAACGTCCTGGTAATTCTCAAAATATTTCAAACCCTCCACCAGTAAAAAAGTTTACAACTCGCTGAAGCCTCAGACGATGGCTAGCGTTTTTCAGCAATAAAGTGTTGTAAAATTAAGGTATGCACATTTTTTTAGACGTAATGCTACTGTACACTTAACAGACTACAGTATAGCATAAACATAACTTTTATATGTACTGGGAAACCAACAAATGTGTGTGTGTCTCAATTTATTGGGGTATTTGCTTTACTGCAGTGATCTGAAGCTGAACTCGCAATATATCTGAGGTTTGCCTGTACTATGTTGTTTTGTTGCTCAAATCGTTCCAGCTTTGGTTATTAAGAGTTCTTTCAGATTGGTTGCTGTGTCCCTATGACAAGACTCCACTCTTTTATTTTTTGAGCATTTGCTTACTTTCTGGCACTATAAGGTGCTCCAGGCTCATCTTGTATTTTCACTGTCCTTGCCCTAAAATCGGCCATTTCTCCAAGGAGCCTTGGTTCCATTTACTGGAGAATGACATTAGAAACCAATATCTGGGTGCTGGGTATGCACATTGCTACTGGGGTGTCATTGTTTCCAAGCCTCTCTCAGTAAACAGAGCTATGAAATATGCATATGTAAAGTCACCCATGTACACACACATCTATAATTCTATAAATCCAGCTCTATCTATATTAAACTAAACCTGAATTCAGACGGATATCTCTGAATCTAATCTAGTACCACATGGTTCATTCTAGCTTTCCCCCTTACTTGTCTGTAATCCCCACTCTCCCAACAGTGAAAAACCTGGATTCCATCACCTGCTGTTCATTTACCTATTCAATCCCCATAGATATGCATAGCAGTTTCAGAATTATGAACCCACACCACTATGGGAAACAACTTTGCCAACTAGAGTATAGTGTTTATGTGCAGGGTTTTTTTTTTTCTTACTTTAGTCTTACAGTTTCCATTCAAATCACTGTTTTTAAAAGTTACTTAGGTTGGTGTCTTTTTTCCTCACACCCCCTTCAAGGAGGTTATGTCATACACGTGTAATAATAGATTCTTTTGTCACACTCTGCATTCCATCTTGGGATGCTCTGATCTCCTGGTTGACATTTTTTTTTAATTGCATATATTAGTTCACTTTTGGTGCTGGAAAGTTCAATGGGAATTGACAAATGCAAAGCATCATGTATTCACCACTGGCAGTGCCACACAGACTAGTTCTACCCTCTCTCTCCTCAAATCTCCTGACCTTCCCCTAGTCAGACACTACCCCTCCCCAAACCCTGTTTTTCATCCTTACAGTTTTGCCTTTTCCAGGATATCACGTGAACAGAGCCACACATTCTGAAGTGTGGTGAAGACTTTAACAGATCTCACCATTTTGTAACATCTTCTATAGCATCGGGATCTTACCATGAAGCTCCAAGCCTTGGAGTTATTGATGAATAAAAGCTGAGTACCACGGAAATTAAGGTATGGTTGCAGACATTTGAAAAGAAGAAAATCGCATCTATAGTGAAAACAAACAAACAAAACTCCAAGAACCGAAAGCACAGTCTTTTAGCATTTTCAAATGCTAAAAAGGAGCTCCAAAAAATGCATTTGAAAATGTTTACTGAAGGTGTATATGAATCCCTCTTAAAGGAAACTTTTCTCTCTTTCAATGAAAACTATTAAATCAGTGTTAACAAGAAGGGGCTTACAAAATGTCAACCTTAAAAATAAATTGTTGACCCACCCTCCAAAAATTTTTTAAAAAGAAGGGTATAATAACCTTATGTAATCAGAAAAAACAGTTAAACTAGAACCGAGGCAACGTGTTTCCGTGACACAGTTTTCACTTTAAGGAATCCTAAGAGGCAAAGTGATGATAATGAAATCCAAACATACAGAATTCTAAAACACGGTTTAATCAGGCTTCAAAAGGTAAGAACCGCTATTTATTACTGTCAGGATGTGTTTATTAAAGCAAGATTGTGCAGTTTTGTAGAGATCAATAATACAATAATTGCAAGAGTACCAGTAAATTTCACACAGAAGAACAGCCGGGCATTAAAAATCAATGCAACCCAATCTACTTGAGTTTAGTGCTGTGGTTCTCATTGTCTCTGCTCTGTGCCTCGACCAGCTCAGCACTGGCCCTGGCTCCTGGTGACAGAGGCCATATTTCATGGTGCTCCTTCCTCAGGCTGCTGGCCGGTGATAAGCTATAATGGATATGTGCCTAAGAACAGCTGTCTCCCCTTGTTCCCTGGAAGAGATGAAAAAGTGCCTCTGCTCTCACAAACTGTATTAACCTTGACAATAATAAAGTGTGTAATTAACAGCTTTGCCCTAATAAAACCTTGCATTTCTTTTCCAAAACAATGTCTTCTATCCTCCTCAAGAATGTGTTTCATTTTGTCTTTCTGGTAAACACTTCTCTGGAGGTCAATAAGCCAAATAGTCCCCTGACTCAAGAATAAGCCAGGACCTCTCAGAAAATAATCGACTTTTAAGCACTCCATCTAAATTCTTACCCTCTTTGCAGAGAACCAATTCCCTGTTTTTATTAAGGAATGTGGCTAGAAACACCTGAGTACATAATCACAACAAAAAGACCTGATACACTTGGATTTATATGGAAAGAAATGTTGGTTTTTTTAACATCAAAAGAACTCAGACCTTCTATTTTCTTTCAGTTTTCTACATACACATTTTTGTTGTTGTTGTCTTTTTTTTTTCATTTTTTTAAATCTCTTAAAAAATTTTTTAACATCTTTATTGGAGTATAATTGCTCCTTTGGTAACCACAGGGGGTGGGGCTAATTGAGTGAGTAGTTGAGAATCACATATTCCTGCAAAACATGAGAATTATGGGCAGGGTATCTCAGAGCAGAGGGGGTGGTGAGGGTTTCTAACCATGAAAACCCTTTAAAATAAATTAT